ATTATATGTTAGAGGAAAAAGAAAATATTACATGATTTTGCAGAGAGAATTTGTTCAAAACACGTCACATTTAAATATTTTATTTCAAGCACAAACAAATTTAAAAAGAAAAAAAATCAATTTAAATAAAACATTCAAGATTTTATACATTAAATTACTACAAAATGATCTTCCTTGCTTTTTAGTTACGTTAACTTATGTGTTCTAAATATATAACTACAACCATTACAACAAGGTTGTATTCGAGGAAATGTTAAATAATATATGCACTAATATACCAAAAAAAAGTTTTATCTGAGCATTTCATTAGCAACCAATCAAGATAATCTCATTGGAATATTAAATATTACATGCATCAAACCATTCCAAATAATAAAAAAAATAAAGCTTATAAATTAACGATATAAACGAAATTTTGTTTCAAACTTACCAATGAATACAAGTCTATAATATCATCCCCATAAAGAGAAGCGGATAAAACCTTAGGGTAGTTCGAGTTACCACTCTTTTTGTTCTCCATCCTCAAAGTTTCTACTTGAGTTTCAACAATGAAAATAGTTTCTTCCTGATGTTCCACAACAAAAAAAAATTGTTTATACCGAAACCCTTAAAGTTGTATATCATTTCTAATTGTGCTTTCAAATTTTTGGTGCATTCTTTTCCTAGTTTAGAATGATGCGTTAATATCCTTTGACGGGACGAGTCGGGCCACACCGTTACTTACGCCGTTTATTATGAATTTGTTATATATGACTCTCAATTCATTAATTAAAGACAATGACATACTTGTGATTTTTTTGTGAGCTTCTATGGTCTACTTGAGGGGCCTCATCTATTTATAAATAGATGAGTGAGGGAGACTTGTAGGTGAATAAGGCTACAAAGGAAGAAGATAGGCTTGTAGAGATGGTAAGGCTACAAGGGAAGAAGATAGGCTTGTAGAAGGGATAAGACTACTACAAGGGAAGAAGATAGGATTGTAGGGGGAGAGGCCACTACAAGGAGGAAGATAGAAATCAGACCAAGAAGACCAAGAAGGGGAAGGAAATCAATCCAAGAAGAAGAAGAAGGGAAGAGGCTTCAAGAATTGAGGGAGGAGTCTTAGATCTTGTATCGAGGTAGTTTCGAGAGGGAGAGATCTAGAGGAGTGTTCATTCAATGATGTAAAAAGTCTGTAATTCTTCTTTGTCTTAGTGTATTTGTTGGCGATTGCCTCCCGTGGATGTAGGCTTATGGACCGAACCACATAATTGGTTGTGTTCTAGTATTTGTGTTCTTGTGTTGCATTTGATTTTTTCCCTGTTTGCTTTTGTACTTGCTTGTTGTGTTTCCAGTTCTTGGGAATTGGAACTATCATATCCAGTGAATCGGCAGAGAGTTCATCACAGCACTGAAGGTGGTTCACGGCAATTCTGTCCACAGCCAGGAGGAGGGAGGTATCGGCACTTGAAGTAAATTCAAGTTCCTGGGCTACAATTCTTTCGTTCTTGGAACTATAACAAGGGGTTTCGGCTGTCACAAAAACAGTTATGTACTCCTCCTTCGGTTATAGCAGGGGTTCATTCGGCAGTCCTGCAAGCTAGCAAATAGACATTCCATTCCTTCGTTTCTTGGAAGAGCAGTAGGGTCTTCGGCAGCCAAGAAACAAAAGTTTAGCATTCTTTTCTTTTGATTGTAACAAGAGGTCGGCGGTCAGAAAGAACGAGATTCTTGTTGTTGGTAGCCCATTCTGTTGAAGCAAAGCCCGCAGGTGGCTTTTCAAACCAGCAAGAAGTTTGCGGCAAGAAGTTCCTTCCAAGCCGTGCAGCACAGTTCTTTACAACAGGAAAGAGGTACTCGGCGAGCTAGAGTTCTTCACATTTCTTGGTGTTTGGTGGTGCAATTTCACAACACTTGACGCAGTTTGTCGGAATTTCAGCCACAATAATGGCAACCGCCAAATTGACATCGAGAAATTCACCGGGAAGAACGACTTCGACCTGTGGAGAGTAAATATGAAAGCTCTGTTGGTGCAACAAGGCGTTGTAGAAGCCTTGCAAGGCCCGGAGGCATTGCCAGCGGACATGACCGAGAAAGAAAAGAACGGGATTCTGGACAGGGCTCATAGTTTGATAATCTTGAGCCTTGACGATAAAATTCTGAAAGAAGTTTCGAGAGAGGCGACGGCTCAAGCGTTTTGGGCCAAATTCGAAGTACTCTATATTACGAAATCTCTGGCTAACAGGCTCTTCTTGAAGCAACGCCTATACTCCTTCAAGATGCAGAAAGATAAATCAGTTTCAGATCAGATTGACGAGTTCAACAAGATCATGGATGATCTTGAAAACATCGACATCAAGATGGATGAAGAGGATAAGACACTACTGTTGCTGAACTCCATTCCTAAGAGCTACAAGCATTTCAAAGATGCAATGCTCTATGGAAGGGTGCAAACAATTTCTCTGGAAGAGGTTTAAGCGCTGATTAGAGCCAAAGAACTCCAAAGAAAATATGAGATGGACAAAAAATCAGTGGAAGAGAAAGTTCGGACAAGAAAGATTCAAGAAACGGTCAAAGCAGATCAAGATCAAGAAATGAGGGCGGAAATCAGTCATCAAAGGGATCTTTCAAGTGTTATCATTGTCACAAGAATGGTCACTTCAAGAGGAACTGTCTTGACAGGAAAAATAAATATCAAGAAAATCCTAAAGATCCTGGAGAAGCAAGCATAGCCTCGGACGGCTATGATTCAGCTGAAGCCCTGGTGATCACCGAATTAGAATCCAGTAAGGAGTGGATCCTCGACTCGAGGTGTTCTTTCGACATGTGTCCTCATAAAGACTGGTTCGAGATACTGCAACTGTCAAATGGTGGGTCCGTACTACTTGGAGATAACAAGGATTGCATGGTGGTCTGCAGTGAAACAATCAGAATAAAGATATTCAATGGAGCCGAAAGAATATTGCAATATGTCAGGTACGTACCAGAGCTCAAAAGAAATCTGATTTCTTTAAGTATGTTGGAGACAAGCAGATACCCTTTTAAGACGGAAAATGACCATATCATGGTAATTAAAGGTTCTCGTATCATCGTGAAAGGAGTAAGAAAAAGGACAATATTGTCTAATCGGAAAAACTGTGATTGCTAAGTTCAGGAACAGTTTGGACTTAGTAGACTCAACCAAGGGCTAAGGGCCCCTCGGGGCAAAGTGGAGGGAGTATCTATTATGAAGCTTTGTAATTGAGAGGTCAAGGTGGAGAAAGTCAAGGTGGAGAATTGTTATATATGACTCTCAATTGATTAATTAAAGGCAATGACATACTTGTGAGTTTCTATGGTCTACTTGGGGAACCTCAACTATTTATAAATAGATGAGGGAGGCTTGTAGGAGAATAAGACTACAAGGGAAGAAGATAGGCTTGTAGAGGGGGTAAGGCTACAAGGGAAGAAGATAGGCTTGTAGAGGGGGTAAGGCTACAAGGGAAGAAGATAGGCTTGTAGAGGGGGTAAGGCTACAAGGGCGATAGGCTTGTAGGGGGGAGAGGCCACTACAGGGAAGAAGAAAGAAATCAGACCAAGAAGACCAAGAAGGGAAAGGAAATCAGTCCAAGAAGAAGAAGAAAGGGAGAGACTACAAGAATTGAGGAAGGAGTCTTAGATCTTGTATCGAGGTAGTTTCGAGAGGGAGAGATCTAGAGGAGTGTGAGGAGTATTCATTCCTTGATCTAGAGGAGTGTTCATTCCTTGATGTAAAAAACATGTAATTCTTCTTTGCCTTAGTGTATTTGTTGGCGATTCCCTCCCGTGAATGTAGGTCTATGGACCGAACCACATAATTGGTTGTGTTCTAATGTTTGTGTTCTTGTGTTGCATTTATTTTTTTCCCTGTTTTCTTCTGTATTTGCTTGTTGCGTTTCCAGTTCTTTAGAATTGGAACTATCATATGCAGTGAATCGACAGAGAGTTCATCGCAGCATTGAAGGTGGTTCACGACAATTATGTCCGCAGTCAGGAGGAAGGAGGTATAGGCACTTGCAGCAAATTCAAGTTTCTGGGCTACAGTTCTTTTGTTCTTGGAACTGTAGCAAGGGGTTTCGACTGTCACAGAACCAGTTCTGTACTCTTTCTCCTTCGGCTACAGCAGGGGTTCATTCGACAGTCCTGCAAGCTAGCAAGGAGACATTCCATTCCTTCGTTTCTTGGAAGAGCAGCAGGGTCTTCGGCAGCCAAGAAACCAATGTTTAGCATTCTTTTCTTTTGGTTGTAGCAAGAGGTCGGCAGAAAGAATGGGATGCTTGTTGTTGGTAACCCATTCGGTTGAAGCAAAGCCCGCAGGTGGTTTTTCAAACCAGCAAGAAGTCTGCGGCAAGAAGTTCCTTCCAAGCAGTGCAGCACAGTTCTTTTCAACAGGAAAGAGGTACTCGGTGAGCTAGAGTTCTTCACATTTCTTGGTGTTTGGTGGTGCGATTTCACAATTGAATTATTTAGAATAAAATAATAATAAAAAGTAATAGACACATGGCATTTGCAGACTATCTCCCGCACACAGAGCTACGTGCGTTATCCAAACGTAATAATTCTTCCATATAGTGACATTGATCAACTTACATGTATTGGTGGTAAAAATCGTGTAAAAATTTACAACTTTTTTGTTAAAATGTAAAAGAAATTTGGTATCCGGATAATGAATGTACAGTAAATTTAAGTCATGCAAAATAAATGCAGTCAATTTAATTGGATTGACCATACATCAATTTTTTAAGCAGAATGAACAATAAAATATACAAAAAAAACTGAACGCAAAAAAGTGAGTATAAATTCACGTACTTAAATCCTCCATAAAATAGCACTGAGTTCATAACCGTCGTCAAGCTCAATGCTAGAATTTGAAAGTTTTGGGGGACCGCACTGAAGTTATGATTATGAATTTCTCCGACGACAGCTTTTTAGCTTTGATATTATCACATAATTTGACAAGGTGAAAGTGAGGTTTTAAAATGTTGTTAACCTTTTCTTAGTCCTTTGGGGTTTGGATGTTTCTGCCATTAACATCTTTTTGGACTTTCTTTGGTCTCTCATCCGCTAACTGTGAAAATTATAAAAAACAATGCCCAACAGTGAGTGCTTACCATAAGTTTTTCTTCTTGTACTACTACCTTCCCATTCAACAAATGCAGCTATGATTGAAAACATAATTTGTCAATCTATTGCTTGGCAAATTTTGTATGTATATGTACAAAAAATCAAGGACCTAATCCTCATATCTGGAGAGCATTTTGTGTGAAAACACATAAATGCTGTTGTAAAAAAAGGAAAAGAAAAAGAAAAAGGAAGAAAACATAACCCAAACAAATAAAAGAATCATCTACTAACTTTCTTTGTATGTTGCATCGCCACATGCTAAGCACCATAAACTGAATCCTGGAATTTGATAAGCCTAATGTCTTACCTCCCTTGAAAAATGCTCACTGAAATTTCATTCCTTGATGTCTGATCACCTAAATCTGGGAACATCATTGAGGATGATAAAGAATGAGAAGTCTCTGCAAATCTGTTCGGGGCACCATGACCGTTAAGGAACGGAGGTTGAGTGGGGGCCGGCAGGTCGCTTGACTTGGTCGTTAGCATCTCGACTACTTTCCACATAGGCGGCCTCAGCGAGGGAGACGCTTGCACACACAGAAGACCTATTCTGAATATCCTTAGAGCTTCTTCCTTCGAGCACTTGCCTTCAAGGTCGTGATCCAGTAGACTCATTAGTGTATCAGAGTTGTAATTCTGCCATATCTATGATAAGTAGTGGTTTTTTTTAGAACACCAATAGAGAATGAAAAAACATTCTATCCTCTGCATTAGGAATTGAATAAAAGCAGTACCTGTTGCATTAGAGAATAACCTTCTGCCGATGTCGAAATCGAGTTTTGGTTCTTACGACCAGTGACTATTTCGAGAACAAGAACTCCATAGCTGTAGATATCAGCTTTCTCAGTCAGCTGTCCATGAACTATGTATTCAGGAGCCATGTAGCCACTGCAAGCATCAATCAATTTGCATTAGTGATATAGGGATATATATCATGAGCTAGTCATTCTAAAGCCAAATGAGAAAAAGCTGGTAATTCTAGCATCAACTTAAATGATGCTAAATGCCATTCATAACTACAAAGTCAGAAGGAGTTGCTAAATAACAGTTATATTTTCATCACCAGTGCTTAATATTAAGTAAAAGAAAGCTGAGGAAGGAGAAAAAGGGCTTGTTGGGCTTACAAAGTTCCTGCTAGGCCAGTGCTGACATGGCTCTGATCCTCTGCAAAGTACCTCGCCAATCCAAAATCAGATATCTTGGCCCTAAACTTCTCATCCAATAACACATTGCTGGCTTTGATATCTCTATGTATGATCCTAACCACTGAGGCGTTGTGGAGATAAGATAAGCCCTCCGCGGTGCCGACAATAATATCAAATCTTCTTTCCCAACTTAACTCAGCCTTCTTGAATGCATCTGGAAACATAAATAGTAGAAAGTCAGTAAGAATCATGGTTATTCCGTTGTGCATTTCATGTTTCTGCGTTTGACTTTTCTGGTTACCAAATAAGTAGTGATCAAGGCTAGTGTTGCTAAGGAACTCATAAACAAGAAGGCTTTCGGGTCCTTCGACACTGCAACCCAGAAGCTTTACAAGGTTCTTGTGTTGGACTTGGTTGATTAAACTGACTTCATTGAAGAACTGGTCGGCCCAGTTCCTTGTATTGAAGAAAAGCCTCTTCACAGCTATTTCTTTTCCATTCGGCAGAATTCCCTGCCATTAGAACGTCAAATCCTCACATATCACAGTTCCCATTTGGCAGAAAATTCGGCTGCTATTTTTTAAAAATAATGCAGCATTACGACCATGTCTCAGTCTATATGATGGATTATGCAAGATCATATAAGATTTTTTTTTCTATTATACCTTGTAAACGGCGCCAAATCCTCCTTGGCCAAGCTTGTTGTGTTGACTGAAATTGTCTGTTGCCTTCATCAAATCATCATATTTGAAACCAAGTTGTGATTGTGTGATAGATCTAATGATCTCATCATGCTCACCTGCATCACCAACATCAACAACATAATCCACAACAGAAAATTATCAACTCATTCAAAATTAACCAAAAAAAAAAATGAAGAGCATTGAAGAGCATTTGGAAGCTACTACCTACTACTCAAATTCTCATTACCATAACCAGAAGCCAACCTCCTTTTCCACAAAACGAAAGCTATTCCAGCCACGAATATTGCCCCCAAAACAGTAGTTACAGCAATTATTACTGTACGTTTGTCTGCGACAAATAAAAAATTCAAGTTTTAGACAAAGAAAATGAAAACCATTAAAGGAATTGATTTGATTTTCTTTTACCAAAACTAGTTTGATTTGGAGGAAGTTTGTTCTGTATTTTTTTTTTATTTTTGTGGCCTTGCATAGAATTCAGGTAATTATTCAACAATTTTGTATTACTATTTTTAAGTAAAAATTAAATTTTTTTCAAATTTCTCACAATAGTTGCAATGAAACGAAACACCCAACAAATGAAAATAATTTATTTCTCTATGATAAGGACTTTTAAATCAAATTCAGCCAACAAAAAAAATTCAATAAATCTGATATTCAAGACATAACTGAAAAGAACTGAACACAAATTGAATTTAATAAATCTTGCATCTAAAATTTATCAATTTTCAAGATTTCATTTTAATTCTACTTTGCCTGTTATGTAAGTAAAAAAGAAGGTACCAGAAGAATCTCCTCCGGCGCCAGCATTCCCGCCCAAATAGAATGGCTCCGTGGAGTACCTGAGAAAGCAACCAGCATTCATGGCTTTACCATCATCAGCCGGCAAACACTTTCCGATAATACTCTCCCTCCCCTTCTTCAAACACTCCCTGCATCCCGTCGCATTCAGTGATCTCCAACACTGCGCCATCCCATACGCCTTCACCTCTGGCGCCACCTGCACGCTTCCTACCTTGTAATAATCGGCGTTCCCATCCGCAGCCTCCGTCAAATTGTTCATCAAATCCGTCGTCAAGTTTGCAAAAACGGATCGGATAGTCTTGTCGATTGTCGTGTTGCTACAAGAGTAAGCGTCCGCAGCGTCTATTGAGTCTTCAGAGACGTTCCGATCGGAGTACTCTAAGAAGCATCCGTCGAGGTAGATGCGGCCGGAGGTGGAGGGGAGGCAGTGGGGAAGCTTGACTCTGCTCTGGGAGTAGCAGAGCTGGCAGTTTATGTGGGATAGATAGGAAAAGCACTGTCCAAGACCAAATACAGTGAGTTTAGAGCCGGAGGAAGAAGTAGCGAAACCGGAGGTTGTGATGTTCTGGAAGATTTTTTCCATGGCGTCCACAAAGTTGATGTCAAAATCTTCAGCGTTTTGAGTATGGTTTTTGCCGCAGACGGAGAGGAATATGGTAGGAGATGCATTATCGGCGTCGGCGAGGGCGATCGGGATGGAGAGGACTAGGAGAACTGGGAGGAGGAGAGGAGAGGGAAGCATCGCTAGAGCCGCTGGAGGAGGAAGGTGAAATGTTTACCCGCACAACTATTATAAATAACTATTTTTTATTTGAAACAATTAATTTTATTTTTCTTGAATAATATAAGTTCACATAACGATAAGTTCAAATAACTACTTTATCTTGAAATACGGCTCTCGATTCAATTGTGATTGTTTCATGGCCTGTGTTTAGCGTAAAAATGAAATCAAATTTTCAGATAAGCAGACAAAACACATGATCCAATTTAAAAAACAGGCCGCATTTATAAACGACCGCAGACGGGCCCAACAATACCTCTTAATTAAAAACCTAAACTTTCAACCAAAAATTAATTCGAGATATAAATAGGCTGATTAAAAAAATCAGATACTGACGCCAGAAACTTCACACGTGGCTGGAAAATATAAATTTCTTAAGGAGTAAATTTTATAAAATAATAATTTTATATTTTATTTTGTAAATAAAGAGTAAAAGATTATTTAAAATTATCTTGGAACTCAACGATTAATTAGTTTATATTAAGAAAACTAATAAAAGAAAGATTTTAAACAAAACTCGCTTATTCAATGTTAAATATTTTTACTATATTAGATTATATATTTTGCTTAATTGCGTATCTTCAACTCAATAACTGTTAGAGATGATTAAGAGTTTATTTGGGGCAGCTGCAGCTTATTAAATAATCTGCTGATAAGTTGATAAAAAATAATCAGCTGATAATCTAGGTACGATGACAATTACAATTTTTTTTTTTTTGGTAAAAATCATACTGTTGCCAAAAAGCTACCACCTATTTTCAATATTTTGAAAATGCATAAACTATCTTTATCCAAACAAATCAGGTGTATTTTTAAAATATCATCACCTACCACTAAAATTAATAGCAGGATTAAATTTTATAAACTAATTCCAAGCAAAGAGCTCTTGGGAATTTGTAGTTGACTATAAGACCGATATGTTTGATGTTTGAAATAATTATTTTGTTGATTAAGTTATTTATTTATTTATTTTGGTCGATAACTAATTAATTCGAGGGGAGCGTGTGGGTCATTTCTGGCAGCGGATTTAACACGCCGAGGTTGTTTAAAAATATATATATTTTTAATTTATTTATTTCGTTTTCCATGAAAAGATAAATTGTTGTCGAAGTTTATGGAGTCACGCTGGAGCCGCAAATTAAAATTTAAAGTTATCCACGGCGTCAAATTTCTGTCAAATTGAAATTAATATATTTTCATTTGACTGGAAATTATAGAATCTAAATATTTAATTTGGATTAATATAATTTGAAAATTTATGCAAATAATTGAACTTAACGCTAATTGCACATAATATTAAAATGTGATGCACAACTTAAAAATTCATATACAATGTTTAGGATCAGAAAGTTTCAAATGAATGAATAAAATATCTTTTGAAATTCATTTTAAAATTTGTGTTTGGGATAACCTTGGCTATTTTTTCCACGTCCACCTGTGCTCTTTCTCCTCTCTAAAGAAGTTGGAAGTAGTTCTGTCAGCTCTTAAGTTTGTTGTTTATTTTAGGGGGCCTACAATCATTGTGGAAATGGATTATCTCATTCTTCGAAATGCATGTTCCTCTACACAGTCTTCTCATTAGCACATCAACCTCCTCCTTCAGAAGATTACTCATTTATCTCAACAATTCCAGACAAAATGGTCATTTACTCCTAGGGAAGGCAATCAACTAGCTGATTGACTTGCTAAGGATGGAGCATCCTCTTCTAAGATTCTTTTTGAAATCAATTCTCCCCACACTTTAGTTCCATTAATTTTGGGGGATATGCTCAACCTTGCTCAAGTTAAAGCCCCAACTTTTACTTTGTAACTATTCTATAGTTTAATGTAATGCTTTTTTGTTAAAATAAACGTCATGTGATACATGTTCGCAACTTTTGAAGAGCCATAAGACAATCATGTGGTACAATATTTTAGGCAACTAATGTAAAATTAAACCACATATTTGACAATGATTATAATGATATGTAGTCTTCACACAATCAGTGTTCACTATTGGCCTATAGTGCCCCATTATCTTAATACCAACTTTCATCTTCTTTCCATATTAGCATCCTATAGTCCGAAGTGTATCTCTTTAATAATTTTTGGGCTTCATGCTAAGCGAAGGAACATAACCACATAAGGTTGAAATATATTAGGTATAATTTGTCATTTTTAAGGGTATAAGGTAATTCTCTTAACTTTACTTGATGACCTATTTACTTATCTTGAAGTAATTTACCTTCCCGGGGGTAATCCCCAAAGGGTTTTCTCTAATTACGTGATTCCTCAACTATAATGATCGCAGCATGTTCTTTGATCTAGTGTCCATGATTTTACTCCATATCATTTGGAGAAAGGGCTTGACAACCTTGAACTTCAATCAGCACAGGTTCCTCTTCTAAGCAAGTTATTTTCTTAGCCAACCTTGCCAAAGCATTCACAATGGTATTGCTGCCACAAGGTATTTAGTACAAGGTGATATTTGATATTTTTTCAAATAAACTCATAGTATGTTGGTAATATTGGTGGAGTTGTGATTTAAAATATTGTATGTTCCAAATTTTTTTTTTATCACTAACTTTGAATCTTTAAAAATTTTGAGAACTTGAATTTCTATTAGAATTGTTAACTGCAGACCAGTAAATAGGGCTTTCTAAATAGCCTCGTTATTGGTACATGACTCTGACATTGATATGATAACCTTACCATCCCATGGTTAGGGGTTATGAAAAATCAATCATATTCCTGTTTTATCTAAGACGGCTGATTTTGACTTGACTTCCATCTTGGTTAATGAAGCGTTATTGAAGTAAAGCTCCAAATAAAGTTTATGTTGATCTTCAAAAGCTAAAATTTGTTCGACAGGTAGGTCATTCAGGAGTGTCAGTAAGGAATGGATGTGTTGTTATGAAATTTTTTGAAGTCTGACCTTTGATAGCACATAAGTGAAAGAAGACTATATAGAATTATAATAAAATTACTGACCATCTCCTTAGTCTTCCTGATATATATGGAAGGGTCGTCAAACATTACGAAGGATTAAACTTAAAAAATAAGATTGAATTTATGAGAGAGTGCAAAGTGCTCAATTTTTGGACTGTGAAAAAGCAAGGCTAAACACTAGTTTTTAATTAAAGAATGATTTTTTGGCTGGGAAAAATCAATGAACCAAGAAGTATAGTATATTATACTTACCCGTGTCAATAATTTCGTCTAATAAGCTATTAAGGGATTCATCTACAGTAACAGTATAAGTGATTAATAACCCACTTGGGATAGGGGCTGCTAATACTGGCAGTGTCATTAGGTATTGTTTTATGCTTTCAAATGCTTATTGACAATCATTATCCCAATAAAACTTAGTGTTTCTTGATTGAAGCATAAAATGGATCTTTTTTTAAAAAAACCCCATAGGGAGTTTTATTCCAAAAAAAAATTAATAATTACAAAAATAGGCAGTTGTTTCCCACAACACCCCACATACAACTCACACAAAGAAATAAAGCCTAAGGAACATCGCCACAAAAAAAATAAAAATGCAACTCACCCCTCCAATAAACCAAAAAAAAAAAAACTCCAAATCAAGCAAACACAAAAACATAAGATCTCTAGGTAAGAAACTAGAAATAAGAATAATTTTGAGACCATCTCCCACTTTAGCAACCCAATTAGCAGCACTGTTTCCATCTTTATAAGTATGGGACCAGCAAGTATCCATCTGTCTAAATAGCCCAAAAATTCTTCTCTTTTGTAGAAAAATGCTCTAATGACATATCACTTTATTCTAGCAATTCCATAAAATTAAAGAATCTAACTCTAAAATAACATATGTTCAACAAAAACATTTAACAATATGCAGGCCACATATAATAGCATCTGCCTCAGCACACAAAGGGGTCCAAAAAACAGACGGAGCCACAAACCAATAAAATACAATACCAAAACTATCCCTACAAATACCATCATTCCAGCAGCATTAACCTTCTAGCTACCATCAACATTTTTTTTTAAAAAAGGAGCAACATGCTTAAAGCATTTCACCCTGTTGCTAGCATTATCAGACAACCTAGTAACATGCATAATCAACTTTAAAAAAAGATCCACAGTCATGCTTCCTAGCTTTCCTGTTTTAAATTCATAAATAGATAAAATTTTAAAGGAGAAGTTTACTATCATAAAAAAGTTCTCAACAATAGAAAGAATCACACCCTTATGCTTCACATTGTTCCTAATAACCTAGATAAACCATAAAATAGCAGTAGCGATATTAGAGAAGAAAAGATGACCTAGCTTCCTTCAATCATCACATATTTCCTTTACAGAAACACAATAAAATTCTATCACATTCCTTCTACAAAATTGATAAACCTACTTCCAAACCTTACTAACAAACCTACACATAACAAATAAATGATTCATAGATTCCTAATTATTCTTACATAACAAAAAACGAGAGGGAATTCTTAGACCCTTATGCTTCAAAATATCATCAATAGGAATATTTAATGTAACATTCTCTAGATAAAAAAGGACTGAGAAGGTTTGACCCAATGGTTCCAAACCTCTTTCAAATCAGCCCCCTGAAAAACCTGAAAAGAATTAACAAGTGTTTTAACATTAGAATTTCCCAATATTCCTTTAACCTTACAAACATCATCAAATTTTTTTATTAATAGGAATGTTGATAGTAAAATCTGCATCAGCTTTTTGCACTAACTGAAGCAAATAATCCATGTCCCACTGCTCATCACACCACATATGCCCAACTTTAATATTCACATCTTGAGGACCACCATAGAACTCCACTAAATCCCCATTACCCAACCAATCATCATACTAGAAATAAACATTTCCTTTCCCAACATTCTAGCTTAAAAAACTTTGAATACATTTAGAAACATTAAGCATTTTTCTCCAAATGAAAGAATCATATTTGGAGTCTGTAAAAATCAAAGTATGATTCATATTGAAATCTTTAGCCTTCATAAGAGTAGCCCAAATAGAATTATTCA